AAAACCTCTTCTCAAAAAGGCAGGCTCTCTTCTCAAGAAAGCATCCTTGTTAAACTGTATGAGGTTTGTCTCCAAAAGCCTGGGTTTGTTTTGAGGCTGAAAATTGAACGGTGGGCTTCGACTTCACAAAATCTTAATGAAATCCCTACAGTAAGCATGCAGAAGGGAGACGGTATCTTTTTGCCAAAAAGGGTCTGAAAATAAAAGGTCTTCATTGTACGAGTCTGGGATAGTCCGTTTCATTTCATTAAGAAGCCCTAGATTTTGTTTTCAGTTCATGGTACGTGTTGATAGGCCCTCCTGGGGAGCCATCCTCCCGGAGGACCACACGTGCTCTTTATATGCTCCATAAATATGAAATCATTACAGTGGCTCCCTTGAGGGAGAGACAGGATCCTGGATTCAGAGAGCAGGTAATTTGATGCCTCGGCAGAAAGGGAGAAGGCAATGGGGCGGGTGGCCAGAAAGTAGTGGGAAACAAGATAGGGACCTGTTTACTGGAACCAGGGTACAGTCAGGGGCAGGGGCTTCAGAAACCAGGTGAGCCCAGTTTCTGATACAAAGGTATCTGTTGAGAGCTAGACAAGCCACAGGCTGATCTGATGCCGAGCCACCCAGCTCCCTGCATACAGTTTCTCAAAGTCTTGAAGGCTAGCAAGAGGACTGGTCTGGCTAATTTGCCCTGTCCCTGGAATGCCCTTCCTGCCTTTGGTGCCTGGTGAACTCATGCATTCTTTAAGACTCAGCTCAGTTGTCCTTGGGGACACTGTGACCTGTGACACGTGGTCCTATGGATTTCAGTTTGGCAGTCTTCTCGCTCTTGGTTCATAGGCTGACTGCTTTGTCTTCCTCCTTTGGGCCCTTGGCGTTGTGTACATTTTCTGTTTCATTGTGATGTTGTAGGGAAGAAGCCTGTCATATTGGTTTGGAATCTAAACTTTGAAGTCTGAAAGGCCTTAGTTTGTTCAAATCACGGCTCCACCGCATCCTCCGTGTATGGCTTAAGGAAGTTTGACTTTCCATCTCTATGTCTCAGTTTTCTTATCTGTAAGATGGGTTCATAATTGGCTCCCTAGAGCATATGGCTGTACTGAAGTTCAATGAAATGATGCCTGGAGTGCCCTTTGTATTGTCCCGAGCACGCGGGAAGCCCTCTGGTAATTTGGAGTCTTTGGTTGCCGACAGCAGAAACCCAGTTGTGGCTGACAGAGTTGACAGGACACTGGGCTAGCAAGGCCCCAGAAAAGAGAGGAATCCAGGCTTCTGCCGGGACCTAGGCATCAGGGGCCAATGGACAGTTTCATCAGGCAAAGCCATAGCTCCATCCATCTTTGATCTATGGGTCATTCCAGTCATATTTCCATTTCACGATGAGAGAATCTGACAGCGCTAGCTTGGCTCACAGGCTCACACCTTGGCCAGGGAGTTCTGGCTGAGGAAAAGGAATGTGCTCAGCTGTTTTACATCCAGTCGGTGACCCTGAAGGCTTTTGCATATTTGACTTACCGCTGAAGACCACGGCAGCTTTACTTATATAATAACACGCGCACAGGATTTTTTTTTGAAGTTTTAAAGACAATGGCGATGTTTGAATGAAGATCAGATTTTAAATATTAAAGAATTATGAAGTTTGCTAGTGTGAGAATTCACTGAGGTTATGCCTTTAGTAAGTACCCTCTCTGTCAGATATATATGTGTTGAAGTAATTAAAAGTTAAAGGAGGAATCCCCGAATCTTGGTGTAGGTAGCAGACCTGGGTGCTATTCATCTGACCTGGGACCCTTATAGGGCAAGGGGACGCCCTCCAAGACTACTTCAGCTTTTTAAAACATGTTTCATACGTTAATCCAAAATCTATTTGTTTGGTCTGCTGATCTGGTTCTGAATTTTGAAGCAATAGAGAATACACGTACTTCCATCTTGCCAATCTTGTTCATGCACACAGTTACTCAGGGCTTAGCCTCCCCACATAAATGCTGCATGAGTGGACAAGAGAGGCCGCCAGGAGGAGGTTCTGCCAAAAAGCAGCGTTTGCAGAGTCAGAGGGACCCAAATCACGACCTACTCCTGCCCACGCGTGTGGGCAGATCTCTAAAATTCAGTTTCTGCATCTGTGAAATGGAGGTAGTGGTTGGTATCTCCCATACAGGGCTGTTGTGAGAATGACATGAAACGGCACGTGGAAAGCACTTAGCATGTGACCCGGCACACAAGTAACAGCTCAGGAGACGTTAGCTGTGATGCCTCTCAGGCGGCCCCCGGACACCTCCTTCTGTTATCTTAGCTCACAGAGATAAAAATGCTTGCAAAAGCAAAGGAAGCAGGGGAAAAAACCACCACCTAGTTGAACTGGAAGGTCCTTTAGGGAACTTAGTAACACAGGTCATCTCAGCCCTACAATATGGCAGCCGCCGACCCTGGATCCACCATCCCCGGGACTCACTATTCTCTGCTTCTGCTCCATCAGCTCCTGCTGCTGACTTGTGTCCTTTCTCTGCCTCATCATGGCTTCTGCGTAGTGCCTTTCTTCAGCTCCACTGTTTCCTCCTTGACCTGTCTCTCGGTCTCTGTCTCTCCAAGAGACCATTCATGATTGCTTTATCCATTCCTCATCCTCTATAGGGAGCCTCTGTTGGGCTGAGCTCTCTTCCTCCCAGAACTACCTTATAGGATGCTCACCAACTTACTAACAGGTTCCCTTTGAGTCAGGTAACTGTCTTTGGTCTGTCCAGCTGTGGCCAGAAGACCGACGCTGATGGGAGAATACTCAGATTATTACAGATTCTTTCTTGGAGAAAGCCAAATTATGAATGTTTATCACATTACTCCAAAGAGATGCTGTTTTTCTACCATATTTTCCCCAACTGGATTTATTCCACAGAATCCTGTTTTTTCCTTAGCCTTCAGATATAGTTCAAATCCTATCATGTCCTGTAAGCTTTTTTTATTTAACATAATGCAAGGATTGCCAAGCCACAATAGTTAGAATTTTTTGAATTCCTACCACGTGCCAGGCACTGTACTGGGCACTTCATAAAGATCCTCTTAGGGCCACCATTATCCCCACTTTATAGACGAGGGATCTTAAACACAAAGCTTAAGCCACATCCCCCAAGCCACATAGCATTAAATTCCAGAAAATGGATTTTTATTAACAACGGTTAGTATTTATTGTTTTATGTATACTATCTCATTTAATCCTTCTGAAACCCATGAGGTAAGTGTAGTCATAACAGCCATTTTAGAAAAGACACGAAGAAGCTAACCACTATATATAAAAATAGATTTTAAAAAATTTCTTCTGTACAGCACAGGGAACTATATTCAATATCTTGTAATAACCTTAAATAAAAAAGAATATGAAAACAAATGTATGTATGTATATGCATGACTGGGACATTATGCAGTACACCAGAAATTGACACATTGTAACTGACTATACTTCAATTAAAAACACAAAAGACACTAACTCCCTTGCCCAAGGCCACACAGCTAATATAAATGATGGAAATGGGACTCTGTGTTCTAGGTCTTTCCATTCCAACGCCTGTTTTTCCCTCCAACTCTTTTCTCTCTCTCCCTGCCTTAATCCTTAACTTTCCCTTCTCACACACCTAACACTCATCAGTCTTCATTAAGCTCACTGATAAGTGACATAAACCCTTGTAAGTGCAGATATAAAGGATTTATTCTCTTTCTGGAACGTCCCTTGATGATTCAACGAACATTAAGGGTGGAATTTTTCAAATGATTTTACCATCTCAGTGATAAAAATCTTTCATGGCCTTTTTAAGCCGTTGGATTTATTTCTCAAGTGTTTCCTTATTACAGAAGAGGTGGGAAAAAAATAAAAAGAGCAAATGCCCGAGGCCTATTAGGATTTTGCAGAGCTAAGGACAGGCTCCCCGTGCCACCTCAGCCCGGTTTATCTTGACTCTCACCAAACTGAGAGCAAGTTGTCTTCCAGGACCCTCGCTGTGAGCTGTCTTCGGGGCATTGGGTCTCTCCATGCTCCATGCATTATTCATCAAGTGAGGCTCCAACACTTGAGAAAACTTTCTGGGCCTCCGCTGGCCCACTCACCACCCCCAGAGCACCAGCCCTCACCAGACAGCTTCAACACCATGGGATTATGAAAACCCGAGGCTCTCCTCTCCTCCCCACCTCGGGGCCGCCAGCATTCTCCCAGGAGAGGGACCTGGCCTCATGGACCTAACAAGCAAAGGCCCAGAAAAAGGGAGGGGGAAGAGAGGGCGGCGAGGCCCCAAATACCCTGATTTGCATGAGAAAGACCAATATGAAGTTGTATGGAGAGCTTGGCTTCCAGCCAAGGAAAAGCCCAGAGCCTGGAAGTGTGAGGGGAGGGAGGGTGTGATTGAAACTCTCCTGGTGGATGGGGGCGAGGTAAGTGTGGGGCCCCCATACCCACCCCGAGTCTGAAAACCCCTGAGCCTCGGGCCTCAAGGTTCAATAATACAGTAGTGCTTCCTCAACAGACTTCTGCTTTCAACCATCAGAGCTCCCCTGGGCTTTGTTTCCAAGCTGTCTGAGGTATTGTGAGCTCCCAGGACGTGTGTCAAAGAATGGACGATAGAGAATAAGATTAAGTTTGCAGTTCGTAACCATTTTGGAGTTTTTTTTCTTTAACTCACCTTCCAACACACAAAAACCTTCTGTAGAAGATTGTATCTTCATATTTGCACACATACATACACATACACACATACAAACGTGCTGCAGATTTCTTTTAAAAGGGAAATAAAGCACAACCCTCCTCCAGTTCTTCAAAATTCTCTGCTTTGGGAGAAGCGGCGTGAGGAAATGAAACCGTGCTGAGGGAAGGAAAGGAATCTGAAGAAACAAACTTCTGTGCTGTTTTCCAGGTTTTACATTGAGAGCATATCGTTTTTGAGGGATAAAACCACCGTGGAGCTGTTTTTCCTGAATGCAAAGTCCTGCGTGCACAAGGTAAGGGCCCGGTCTGTCCTGGTCAGTGAAGGACTCCGGAGGGGCTGGAGTGGAGGGAGAAATGGGGGGTGGGGGTTGTCTTCATGTTTAAATGGAGAAAAAAGGCCATAAACTTTTCCCTTGACATATCCTACCCCGCCAAAAAGAAAGGAAGGAAGGAAGGAAGGAGAGGCAGCTCAAATTCTGAGTGGGGAAGACAGCCTTCTGCAGAGGCGTGCTCACACAGAATCACCATTGCCTTAAATGCAGCTCATACTCCACTCAGGATGACCCAGAAAGACCCAAAGATGAATCAGTCAGACTGTGATTGAAGCTTCACAAAAGTCAGGCCAGAAATCTTTTTTTTTTAATGGAGGTGCTGGGGACTGAACCCAGGACCTCATGCATGCTCAGCACATGCTCTACCACTGAGCTATTACATCCTTCCCCACCCACTCTGCTCTGAAATTTTTTTTTCTTTTCTTTTCTTTCTTTTTTTTTGTTTTGTTTTGTTTTGTTTTTGTATCCTTTTTTTTAACCCAAAATCTTTTTTTTAATCTGATCTTCTTGCAAACAGGCATTGATTTAAAGGCTTCTAAATCTGGCCTCCTCAAACCACACCCTGGGCGAGGGCAGGGAGTCTGTGGGCCATGATAGACTCAGCTGGAGCCCAGCTCCTCCCTTCACGGGTATGGTCTCAGTGTTCAGTGTCTCAGATCCCACGCCTGCTTTCCAGAGCTGGTGGGAACCCCTCCCTCTCATATTCATTATCCTGAATTTGAGGGGTGGCCAGAGACAGCTGGATGGTGCTTGGCCGGGAAAGACAAGAGGGGTGGACTGCAGGTTAGGGAACCTACATTGGTACTCCTCCCCACGGCCCCCAAAATGTCCCACTGCACACACACAGCCTTAATTGGCAGAAGACTCAGCCAAGAACAAAGCTTTCGGTGTTGTTTTTTTTTAAACAGCTTTATTGAGATATAACTGACAATAGATAATGAAAGTGTAGAATTTTATGCCTAATATAAATAATACCCTTGAAATGATCACTACAATCAAGATAGTGAGAATACCCAGCAACTACAGGTCTGCTTTTTCTCACAGTAGTTTGTGTTTTCTAGAGTCTTACATAAATGAAATCATACAGTAGATAATCTTTCTGTCTTCTTTCAATGAGCATAATTATTTTGAGATTTATCCAAGTTGTTGTGTGTATCCATAGCCCTTTTTATTGCCGAGTAATATTCCACTGTGTGGCTATACCTTGTTTCTCCATTTACCTGTGGGGGTTTTTTCCCCCCTTTTTTTCTCCCAGTTTTACTGGGATGTAATGGACATGTAACATTGTGTAAGGTTAAGGTGTAAATATTAATGATTTGATATGTGCATATATTCAAAATGATCCATTCACCTGTTGATGGACATTTGGGTTATAAAAGTTTGGAACCATTACAAATAAAACTGCCATGAATAGCCATGTACAAGTCATTGTATGCACATATACTTTTGTTTTTCTTGGGTACACACCTGGGAGTAGAATATCTAGACCATGTGGTGGATACATTAAACTTTTTAAGATTCTGCCAAACTATTTTCCAAAGTGGTTGTGCTGTTTTAAGTCCCCACTCATAAATATTTAAATTATAAGATTTCTAGTTCCTTCATATCCTTGTCAACACTTGGCATAGTTATTAGCCTTTTCCATTGTAGCCATTCTGATAGGAGTGTTAGTAGTATCTCATCATGGTTTTAATTTCCATTTCCCTGGTAACCTATGATGTTTGAGTGTCTCTCATGTGCTGATTTACCATTAGTATATTTTCTTTATGTTTGAAATTTTTCCCCCAATTTCTTGGGATTGTTGTTTTCTTTTAATGGGTTTTTGGAGTGTATATATTCTGTATCCAAGTACTTCATCAGTTATATGGCTTGCAAATATTTTCTCCCAGTCTGGCTTGCTGTTTATGCTCTTAATGTCTTTCAAGATTGAAAAGCTTTTATTTTGATGAAGTCCATTTTATCAACATGCTCTTTTATGGACTGTGATATTATATCTCAATAGATTTTGCCTAACCCAAGATGGCAAAGATTTTCACCTGTGTTTTCTTCTAGAAGTTCTTAAATGATAGGTTTTACATTCAAGTCTACTTTTCATTTTGAGTTAATTTTTACATATGACACAAAGTATGGTTTGAAATTCCTTTTTTTTTTTTGCATATGGTTATTCAATGGTTCTAGCACCATTTGTTGAAAACGCTACCATATCTTTATTACATTGCCTTTGCACCTTTGAAAAATCAATTGTCCATATATGTGTGGATTTACTTTTGGACTCCTTATTCTGTTCCATTGATCTGTTTTAGCATAACCTTTATGCTAAAACATACTGTTTTGATTCCTGCAACTTTATAATGTGTCTTGAAATCAGAACAAACCCCAACTATGTTCTTTTTCAAAGTTGCTTTATTTATTCTAAGTTTTTATATTTCCATATTAATTTTAGAATCAGCTTTTCAAATTCTACCAACAAACAAACAAACAAACAAACAAATTCCTACTGATGCTTTTCTTAGGATTGCAATGAATCTATAGACCAAGATTGACAGCTTACTAATATTGAATCATCAGACCCATAGACAAGATACATATCTCCATTTATTTAGGTCATCTTTAATTTCTCTCAGTTTTTTTCAGTGCACAGGTCTTTTGTTAGATTTTTTTTCCCTAAGTCTTCCATATTATTTCATACAGTTGTATGTGTTATCTTTTTATTTCAGTTTCTGGATGTTAATTACCAGCATATAGAAATACAGCTGATTTTTGCATATTGATATTGAATCCTGCAACCTTGCTAAACTCATTTATCACTCCTGGTAATTTTTTTCCGGATTTCATCAGATTTAGATTATAGGTGATCATATCATCTGCTAATAAAGATAGTTTTACTTCTTCCTTTTCGATCTGCATGCCTTTTTTTCAGCTGTCCCATTTGTAGCCATAATTGTTCATAATGTTTTCTTCTCGTTCGAACGTGTACAATCTGTAAGTGATATTACCTCTCTTGATCCCCGTATTAATAATTGGTGTCTTCTCTATTCTCTGTCAGTCTGGCTAGAAGTCTATCACAGAGCTTCTCAAAGAATCAGCTTTTGGTTTCCATGCTCTTCTCTGTTGCTTTTCTGTTTTCTATTTCATGATTTCTGCTATGAATGTTATTCTTTTTATGTTTTATTTTTATTGTTTTCTTCTTCCTTTGGGTTTAATTTGCTCTTCTTATTCTAGTCTCTTAAGATAAAAGCTCACTGATTAAAGAGGTTTCTTTTCTGAGATAGGCATTTAGTACTGTAACCTTTCCCCCTAAGAACTAATTTTGTATCCCACAAATTCTGACATGTGGTTTCATTTTCATTCACTTCTAAATATTTTCTAATTTCCTTTTTATGTATTTTCATTGGCTCATTGTTATTTAGAAGAATATAGTTTGATTTCCAGAAATTTGAGAACTTTTATGGATCTTCCTTTTATTTATTTCTAATTAAATCTTAACTGTATTCAGAAATTTCACTTTGTGTGAATTAAATTGTTTTAAATTTATGGTGCCTTGTTTAATAGCCAGTGGTTATTGGTCCATGTGCGCTTGGGAAGAGTGTGTATTCTGCTATCATTGGATGGATGTTCTATAAATGTTAACCAGGTCAATTTGATAGCATTGTTTAAGTCTACTATGTCTCACTGATTGTGTGTCTCCTACTTATATCAGTTATTCACGGAGGGGTACTGTAATCTCTGGCTATGATTGTGGATTTTTCTATTTCTCTTTGCAAGTTCTATCAGTTTTTGTTTCATATATTTTGAAGTTTTGTTATTAGGGTATAAACATTTAGAAATTCTAAATAAGCATTTAGAATTAGAGTATAAACGTTTAAAAGTGTCATCGTGATTATCATTATAAAAATGATCCTCTTTATCCTGGTAACATTCCTTATTCTGAAATCTGCTTTGTTTGATATTAATATAACCACTCCACATTTCTTTTGATCAGTGTTAGCATGGTAAGTTTTTTTCCATCTTTTAAATTGTAAACTGTTTGTATCTGTGTATTTAAAGTGCATGTCTTATAGACAACCATACAGTTGCATCTTGATTTTTTTATCTACCTTATTTATCCATTTATCCATCTCTGTCCTTTAACTTGTTTACACCATTTATATTTAATGTGAGTATTGACATGTTTAAGTTTATCTTGGTTTGTTTTCTCTTTGTCCCATCTGTTCTTTGTTCCTTTTTTCCTGCCTTCTTGTGGACTTACTGAGTCTTTTTATGATTTCATTTGTGCTCATTTGTTGGGTTATTAGGGATAACTCTTTGTTTTATTATTTCTGTGGTTGCTTTTGGGTTTATGGCATACATCTTTAACTTAATCAGGTCTGCCTTCAAGTGATATACCATTTCACATGTAGTACAAGAACTTTATAATAGTATATTTCTATTTCTCCCCTCTCAACTTTTATACTATTGGTATCATATATTTTACTTTTAGGTGTTATAGATGCACATGACATGGTTATTATTTTTTGTAAACATCTGGTCATCTCTGGCTGCTTTTAAGCTTTGCTCTTTATCACTACTTTGAGCAGTTTATTATAGTTTCATGTTTCTTATGATAGGTGTTCACTGAACATTTTATACTTGTAGGTTTGTAGTTTTTATCAAATTTGCAATTATTTCCAGCCATTATTTCTTCAACTCTTCTTTCCCCACCCACACCTCCTTGGCAGACCCCGATTACGCATATACTAGGCCACCTGAAGTTGTCCCACAGCTAAGTAGTGCTCTTTTTATTTAGTTATTTTTTCTCTGATTTTGATGGTTTCTATTGCTGTCTTCAATGTTATTCATCTTTGCTTTTATAATTTACACTTCCATTTATCCCATCCTGTATATTGGCACTTTTATCTTTAGAAGTTTGATTTGGGTCATTTTTACATCTTGTATATGGCTGCTTAACTTTTTGAACATATGAGATATAGTTATAATAATTGTTTTCATGTCTTCCACCTGCATATTCTA